GGGAGAAGCGTCGAGACCTTCCGGCTATGGACAACGAACTGGGTTTTATCGAAGTCGACGTTTGTCGAAACTGGCCTCGACTACTTTGCAAATGGTCAGGCCGTTGGAAGAAGTATGTCGACCGAATATCCTTCCTCAACCGGGGCGAATGAGTCTGTCTTGTCTAACTTTTGCATGCTTGCGCGATGAGGCGAGAACGGAGACCCGGCATGGCTAGTGCGAGAAATGTGAGTAACCAGGGCTCTTAGAATTTCCACATTCCTGACGATAGACTGAGTAGACCAGTTCGTGTACATGACAATTGTTGTTAGGACATGTATCTGATCCTCAAAGGCTCCGCCTACTTCGTATGCTCTGGTGGATCTTGAACGGGCTCTCCTCAAGTACCTATTCGGACACCGGCTGGCCGACATACTTTAGTTGTCGGGGCGACAAGGCGATTGGAGCAACTGGCAGCAGAAGACGCCGTCCCGTCCGATTCAGCTCCACCCCGTTTCTGCCCCTCAACGTGCCCAAGACGTCGCCAAGTGTCCGTTGGCTGTCTCCCCTCACAACTGGCCTACGTCACAATTTAGTCCTCTACGAACTCCTCCAACGAGGCTCGGTATCTGGAACTACAGCCATACAGGCCTCCTGCTGCTTGAGCAGGCCGCCGGTGGGAATCTTGGTGTGTGTGTATGTGTGTGCCTGTATGTGTGTATGCGACAAGTGGACGGCAGTTGATAAGCCGGACGGGAAGACTGTTGTATGATCGGGAGAGAGTAAGTGAGTGATTTGGTGAGTGAATGAGACAGAAGATGGGACAATCGGGAGATACGAAGTAGGAGGACAGGTTGAGACGAGTTCTGGTATTAGATGCATGGAAAGAGAGAGAGAGAGAGAAAGAGAGAGAAGGAAGAATGATGAGCAAACAAATGAGAAAATAAGTGCAATGAATTAATACGGGGAAGTAGATAAATACTAAAATAATGGCGAGTGAACAAGAAAATATCGAAAAATTGTCAGGCTCTCTCAAGAGTCGGGTCTGGGGTTTGATGGACGACAAGTGCCGGCAAAAGACCGAGGGACAAATGGGACAACTGGCGAGGATGCTGAAGGATGATGTGATTCATGACAAGATGGCGCTTTGGAGACAGTCGGATCTTTGTGTGTGAGTGTGTGAGTGTGTGTGTTTGTGGCCGAGGGGCATTCACATGTGCCCCGTGAAGGACGTGAAATAGGGCGCGAGGTGGATGGCGAAGAGTGACTATTGCTGGTTGATCGGACGAAAGACGATTCGGGCTGCGCGTCAAATGCACTGCTTCAACAGCTCGGCGCCATGCTCGAGTTCGAGGCCGGCCGGGACTGCAGTGATTTGGCAGGTCTCTGCAAGTTGGTCGGACTCGCAGGCAGGCTTCGAGACGGCCCGTTTCCGAGGCCCTGGTGAGCCGGTTGGTGGCACTTAACGGCCCCAATTATGAGCCCGACTCGCGGCTTCGAGTCTCGCCGATCGCGCAGACACGATGCGTAAACAGGCGAGTTGAGTGAATAGGAAATCTTATTAAAATCCTGCTACCGCATGTCAGCAGAGCAGAGATCTGTTTACAAGGCGCCTCAGTCGCTGGGACACTTTGCTCGGACAGATGGACAAGGTAAGGCATGTGAAATCACGTGAAACAATCAAGTTCTCGTTTCATCCATTCATCAGGCTACAAATCCATCTCTACAACCTGTCCATCCATCCACTTGCACGCCCATAAGCATGAACCAAGTCTCGATTTGTACGTCTGTCTGTATGTTTGTATGTATGTTTGTATGTATGTTTGTATGTATGTATGT